TCAAAGAGTTAAAACTCCATTTCAGTAGAACTTCAGGGAACACTCTCATTGCTGCCTGGTTCCTTGCTGGCTCATTCAGAAAAACTGATGTTACATTATACATTAACATTTGTAAGTGTCATCTACATGAAAAATTTTTAGCTATTTCCATTTTTTAAATTGTAGTTAGTGAAACTTTTATGTATACAGACAAACTGGGCGGCCATAGGAAGATACTTAAAACTTGCTTATTTTGGTAGCCCATGGGACTTGTTGGCCACCTGGCTTACTGACCAGATATGTTTCCTGATTTAAGGAAACGGGCTGGGTGATTATGTAGTGTCACCAGCTAAATATGGCAAGACTCGAGGCTCACGGATTTCTCTTTAAAATGCAAAAATCATTAAAAAGCTGAAGGGCTGCCGTTCCTTTGTGCTGCTGGCAGGGAGGCAGGGGAGCCTGTTGGCTGGGGCAGCTCTGCCACCTGCAGCTCAGCGCCGGCAGGACCGCAGAGCAGCCTTCAGCACCGCCAACCCAAAAACCCTCCTGGAGGCGAGAGCCTTCATGAGGAGGGTAATCGCTAATTAAATTAGAAATAGAATACATTAGCTTATGGTATGCAAAAGGTAAAAGAGAGCTTTCACATCGGTCTTTATTGCTAATCTGCACCGCTTCCAGAATGAGCATCTGTTCTCAGAACAGAATAAAAACCCAGCATTAGAACAAAAATCATCAGGCTAAAACTATTCTTGGTGTGACTGGACTGATCTTAGAGCTGAATATGACTCCTCACTGATGAAGGCCAGTTTGTGGCCTCCTGATAACTGAGGTATTACAGGAAATTATGTGCGGATCCATATTCTCAGAACCCTTTAACTCCTGTCTGCAGTGCCAGCACTATCTCTTCATATAAGTCCCTTCTTGAAATACACTGGTTTTTGAAACCTGTAAATGCTAGTCTTCTCCTCAAAAAAAAAAAATTAAAAAATAAATAAAATTCTTCCAGATGTGTTTTACTAACACCAAAGAAAAAAGAAAAGCCCCAAATATACCTCGTTATGTTCCCTATTTTCACTTCCTTGAGCCCCAAGGGTATAGCATTACAATTTTGTCAGGTTGGATCCAAGTTCTCTAATTGATGAATTGTCCATAGGATCCATGTGGAACTCCAGGAAAGTCACAGCCAGTCTATATAGTACCAAAATGTGTGCATGGATCCCAGTGTGTACTGGGCACCCACAAATGCAGGCTGCTTATGCCAGTGACCTGTTATGCCAGTGTGAAGTGTTCATCCCTAGAGCTGGCTCCAGCTCTCAGCTCTGACAGTGAAACAGCGATGGTTCTGAGTAATGGTCAGAAATCACCACAATGAGCTCAGATAAGAGGGCTAGAAACTAATTCTAATAATACTGGGTTATTAAGCAGAACGTAGAGTTCTTTCAGTGGGTTTTAGTACTGCAGAGGGAAAGTATATAATCTATTATGATACACATTGTTCCAAATATGTTTTAAAAGCTAAAACAAATATAATTTTTCTTTGAACTTTAAGCTTTACACACAATTAAGACACATCCTAGTGCCTGAAACATCCACATGGAGCTTTGTGTCCTTCTGTGACAGCAAGAGCAATCTGGTGGATCAGATCCAGCATCATCTAGGGCATTTCAGCTGGTACTACACACCTGTGCACAGGCATGTGGATCCCACCTCTAGTGTTGCCTAAGCCTGGAACTCGGAAATATCTGTCTTGTCAAGCATTGCCATTAAAGGTTCGGTATTCCTAGGAATGTAGAAATTATTTCTGTAATCATACATCATCACCACACTAAATTCTTGAAGTCTTTAGGCTATTTTCTTGGGTGACTGATTTCAAGCTGTGAAGAAACTGCTTGTAGAAGAGATTGGTTTTGTTGGTGTTCCAAATATTATTAATATAGTACTATAGTAAAAACTTGTACGTTTTGGTGTTATCCAGTGCTTGAAAAAATGTTAAAATGGATGTTTTGAAGAAATCTCACAGAGGGAGACTAGATGATCTGTGGGGAATAGACAGTTTAAGCCTCAGGCTTCTTCTATATGCCAATGAATGCAGGAGTATAAAACATTCCATTAGCTTTGTTTTAGGAACTCACTCTGTCAACCCAGCCTGCCAGTTACCTGCTCACCAGTGGTTAAAGACAGCAGGTGGTTTTGGCCAATCAAGCTTTTAAATGCATCTTGTCCCCACATTTTTAATCTGTCTTTTTTGAAAAAAAACAGGCTACTGATTGTCACTGGCAAGTTCCTTGGACTTAAGATAATTGGAGCACAATCATTTCCTCTTTCGAGGATTTGGGTTTGACTCACTTTAGATTTCAAGTAGGTCTCAAAGGTCACCAAAAAAGACTGTGAGATTTGATAGCAATAATTTTTAATCCAGTTCGTTTTACACTTATGCCCAATTCACATAAGTTAGATACATTTAAAACTATAGGGTTCAATGCCCTCCTATTACTCAAGTATCCAAAGCTGATCTTAAAATTTTTGGACTTTAGAGGAAGAAAATGAATTCCCCAAAAAGCAGAACAAGAATTCATGTGAGTGGGTACACCTCCCAAGTACCCGGAAGATGAGACTTTCCCATGTCCTAGAGTAGGGCTCTCAGTACCCATATTTTTTTTCTCTTTGCACGTAAGATCAGTCAAGCATTTCTACATATTGGGTCTGTATTCAATTTTAATCTTGTGTGTGAAGGGAAAGAGATTATGTACAATATTAGCAGTCGAGATATCCACAGGCAGCAGGGACAGAATAGTTCTCAGTGCACATTACGGTTAGAGCACAATAGCAAACATCTTTGCCAAGATGATAAAGAAGAAGCATTCTCTTTGTTGCCAATAATGAATATCTAGGGAAGAGTAAGTATATAATGAATAAGGTGTCCCTAAGGAAATGTTGGAAGAACCTACATATATATTTACATATTTTTAGTCCCAGCAGCAGTAGAGCTATGTGAGTCTAGTGCTCTGCCCAGGGTAACTAGTTTGTTCAGAATCATCACAAATATCTTTTCATGCTTGCTGCTATCTGCTCATACTGAGAAAATTTAGGCAGCTGTGCCAGAAAACCAGACTTTTGAGAGTCAAAACAATGGTGTCCTTTATGATCACAAACCTCTTTCTCTCTCGCATACACACACGCACAAAACCTGAGCAAGCACCTGCAGGTCTCAGAATAAATTGAATATGAACTAAAATACAACACCTTTTCACAGCATAAACTGGATCCTGCATATATTTTAGGACCTGATGATCTTAATTTTTGTTAGAATATTGAACTAGATGAAAATCCAAACCCAGAGTGCACTATCTGATAGCAGCTTTCTATTATCTTGTAGATATCTGTAGTATCTGTAGATTATCTTGTAGATATTTTTTTACAAAAAATATATAAAAATTATGTAAGAAAAAGTCAAAGAGGCAACTGCAGATTCAATTTCTACAGTTGGAAAAAAATAATCTCTCATACTGAAGCTCTTCATTCTCCCTGCTGCTTTATGTTATATCTCTGTTTTAACTTCTGTTAATGAAAGGCTCATCAAACAGCAGTGCCAATGCACAGTAATATTTAAATGCTGAATTAGTCTCAGTCTTCATGGCAGCTCCCTTTCAACTATTTTCCCTGAATACTTTGCATCCCCATTTATATGAATGAGAGAAGGGTGCACATGGGGAGAGTGGAGCAAGCATTGCTCAGCCCTGCAGCCCAGAGAGAAGAATTTGTTTCCTGTCTTATATATTTGTAAAAGAACTAAGTAAAAACGTCTCCTGATGAAGTAAATCCTGGATACTCCTTCAGCAAAACTTCCTAAAATTAAGTAAATAATTTAAAACAAGAGTTTGCTTAAGTTAGATCTTTCTTCAGTTGCCATTCTAACTTCTAATCATTTGATCAACTTGTTGCCCTGCTTCTGTTGGTAAAAAAAGCCAAACCTGTCCCTACTTCTAAATGCAGTTCTGCTTTGAAAAATGAGTAAAAATGACATGTAGGCTCCATGCTTATTCTGTACCAGCTACTTCTTTATCGTATGTGCTCAGTTTGCAAGTAAGGAACCATTTCCTCCTATGTGCCAGCCCTGCAAATTTCAGGTAGAACCTTTAGGTCAACTTGGATTTTTTTTTCAAATTCAGGATACCTAAAAATCAAGGCTCTGGCAAACAAGAGTAAGCACTCAGTTACACATGTGAAATTTTGTAGCCTTCTATGACTTTGAGTGAGGTTTAAATGAGGAAATGATTCTGTGGTTATAAATAGAAGAGAATAGAAAGCAGTGCAGTGCTCTTTCTGCTGGATCTGCTGTGCTAACAGAAGTAGAAAGCAGTGAACAATATTTTTAATTATTAAGTGAACAGATAGAAAATATATAAGACTCTATTTTAAAAAAAGGTGTTTGAAATTCCATGTTTTCAGAAATCTCTGTGTCATATATTCAGCGTTAAAGCAGACAAGAAAAATAAAATACTTCTCTCTTTTTCTCATTTGTGTCATTCATGTGATAGGAGGAGAGTGTATAGTCCTCATATGACAAAAAATCCCAAAATTACCTGGATTATTTTGCATGCAATATCAAAATAAAATATAAGAAGTTCTCATTGTGGTGTACAGCAGGTCAGAAGAACACATTTTGCTGTAGGGGAAAGATAATCCACTCTGGGCATTTTGTTATTTATTAATCTTTGCAGCTTTGGCAATGAAGCATGAACATTTTCTAGTTTTCTGAAATCTCTGTAGCCTGGAAGACTAGAGTTGAAGTTTATCTGACACATCCAAAAATTACCTAGGATACTAAATAGCAAGAAAAGTTTTCCCTATTCAGAGTTTTGATTTTGCAAGTGCAGATTAAACTGAACTGTACAGGGCATGCTCTGTTAGCAAGAGTAAAAAAAATCCAAAAATGCAATTATAATTACCAACTATGTAAATACTGATCAATGGAGGCTTTGCTTGGATGAAATTGTTCTATTCTGATTTTTTTCTTCCAGTTGTGTGTAATACTGGAGCCAATGCAGGAACTGATGTCAAGACATAAAACTTACAATCTAAGTCCTCGAGACTGCTTGAAGACTTGCTTATTTCAAAAATGGCAGAGAATGGTGGCCCCACCAGGTATGTTTCACTTCCAATATTCCACTTATCTTATAGTAAAATTAATAGAGAAGCAATGGGAAAGTTTACTTATAAAGGAAAGTAATAATAATTAACAATGCTTCCAAAGCAAGCCTGAAAATTATTCTGATATTTTATGATTTCAGTCTGACACAACTGATTTATGGATGTGCACACTGAGATGGCTTCACTGTGACTAGGATATAATTTAGTACAAAAATATGTGTAGATGGAATGCAAAATGCCTACTGGCTCCATTAGAATTCATTGTTTATGTAATCCTGCTTCCTGCTGTGACTCTGAAATTACAGCTACAATTCATAATTAATTGTCTTTGAGACTAATATCAAGTTATTTACAGGCCTGGACCTAACCTCCTTCCTCTTACACCTCAAAATAATAACTCTCTTTTTTCAGATTATAAAAGTTTTTATATCTAAGAGTGTTCACATGGGTACCCAGGCCAAATTTGGAGAAGAACAATTGCCCCTCTGTGCTTTGCCAGTTTAAGCAAAGCTGTGTAATTTGTCCTGATTAGATCTGAGTTTTGCAGGCTTGCAGGGCAATGGCATTAGCACACTTTATGGGTTCTCTGGGGAGCAGCAGTTTTAAAGGTGAAGCCCACACAAGATGTAGAGGGAACTCAAAGGGTGGTTGCTTGTTGCTTGCTGCATGGATGGCAGCAATAGGGTAGAAAGCTCCTTTACCCTTTGTCTCTGGCTGGATCATTTGAGGCTGTACCCTACATCACAGTAAGACCTGCATTTTTGTTTAGCACTGTTTCTTGCTGTGTGACCTTCAGCAAGTTCCACAGTCACTTGGACCATAATGATCATTATCATGATACTCCCATCAGTAAAATCCTTTTGAATACCTTTATAAGCAATGCTGGGATAATAAGCTTTTTTAATCCATCAAAAAAAATTGAAAGCAGATTCCATTAGTTTGGGTCCAAATATCATTCTATGGTTTGTATGTTAAATCTAACACAACTGCTGCTATTAAACTTAGCAATTTAAAACTAATTGAAAAAATATTTCAGTATTTCTTATGGATCATTTTAGTTCATGCTTTACAGTATCTGCCATTTGCTTTCCTTCTTACCATTTTATTGCAGCAGAACCCACAAGACAACCAACAACCAAACGGAGAAAAAGGAAAAACTCTACCAGCAGCACTTCCAACAGTAGTGCTGGGAACAACGCAAATAGTACCAACAGCAAGAAAAAGTCAGCTGCTGCAAACCTGAGTCTATCAAGTCAGGTACCTGTAAGTCTCACTTTCCTTTTAGGCCTGAATCACTTACAGTGCTTTAATTCTTTGCATACCTTGTAAAGAAGGTGCATTCTTGAGCCAAAACTATCACAAGCAAAAGGCAAACTTGCACAGTGTGCTGTGGAAGCTGGGGAATTAGTGGAGAGGTGTGAAGAAGCTGTTCTGTAGTGCAGTTTTAATGCAGGACCCTCAAATAGAAGTGCCCTGAGGATCAGATGTGATCTTTTAATGGTCTGGGCCAGTTCCCCTTTTTGTCAGGGGGAGTCTCTCCACTAGTGGTGGGACTCGTATCAGGCCTCGTGTTTTCAGACATAGCATGAGCCTTTCAGAATTCTTCTGCCAGGTGCTAAGTGGGGATGTGTCCTGGTGGTGCAGGACAGCTGTGCCTGAGGAAGCCACTGGTCTCTCTGTGTTAGTACCTTACCTCTGATTGGTGCCAGGATCAGATGCTGAACAGGAGCAGGTTATGATTTCTCTTACCTGCAGAGCTTATCTCTTTGTCCAATCACTCCACCTGAAGAGGGTAGATCCCCTGGAATGTGGCTCTCAGTTTATCCACCCTGCTAGCTGTAACTGTTGACATCCTAACTGTATAGGGAGACACCAAGTCATTTCCAGGATAGCAACTGTCTCAGCACTTTAATAATGTCACATTTACTGCCTTAGTCATAATATAGGGTAATCAGACCCCAAATTGTGACAAAGTGTGCCTTGGTCAACAAGGAGATAGCTTATGCATTTTAAAGCTTGGGAAATTAATTTGATATTATAGGAACCATAAAGTCATATCCTGAGAATAACATGCAGGTATTTTTATTGGATTTCTGGTCAGCAGATAGGAAGGGGTTAGGTCTACTCTGAAACCTGATAAAGGATATAGGTGTTTTGTTAGCACAAAGCAGACACTTCCTAGGAATATCCAGATTAAAAAAAAAAAAAAGAGGAGTAGGCTAATACCAGTGAAATGAAATTAAGATTTTTGTTTAGCAACTGATTTAGCAATCCACTAGTTTACAGCTTTGGGCTTCAGTACATTAAACTCATATTTCCTCCGTGTCATATTAAAATTGGCTCGCACCCCCAGAGTCAGATTCTTTCCCTAATATAGGCATCTCTGTGCTTTTCTGGCAGCACCAAGCAGTCAGAAGGCTGACTACCTGATCTCCTGGTGGCAGGCACTACTCTACCCCACTGATGGTGTCTGCCAGAAAAAACCTTTGGATGAATATTCAACCATATTTAAGAAAAAACTGCAATGAAGTGCAAACCCAAGCAACCAGCTAGTTCCCTGTTGTCTCCAACTTTAAAGGACAGTAGAAAAATTTTCTGTCAGCTACACTCTGCTCAGAATTCAGCAGGACCAGAATCTGTCCCCCTCCTTCTCTTCAGCCTGCTCCTCCCTGGAGAGAGGACATTTGTTGCCTTCAGTGGCAGCCTTGTGTACTTGAATGTTTGAATGTGACTGAGCCCTCTGATAGTTACCTGTCACTCCCACTGATATTGAAAGTAACTTCAGGTGCTGAAGGCCGCTTCTGACAGATGAAGCAGTCAAGGCTGCTCTTCTGATGGAGATGACAGTTGAGCATCTGACACATATTGGTGAAGTTTATTATGATATGAGGGATGGATTTTTAGCCTTCATTTACTTTCAGGATGTTGCATACTCAATGTTTTTCAATATTTTTTGCTTTCTGTACCAGAGTAGCAAAATGGTCCAAACTCTTTTGTATGGAGGATCAGGTTCCATTTTTAGGACACTTTTCCTTTCCATCTGCAAAGGGGAAAATGCTTAGCTGTTCGATTTGACATACTAACAGCTCTTCCCATCTTCCCCACAGCAAAGATAGCAAACCAGATGGAATTGATGGTTTGGCCACCCTATAGAGTAGACAGAACTCAAAATAATTTTAGCAGGAGGATATTTTGGTGTAAAACTATTCAACACTTTTCAGTTTAATAAAGAGATGTTATCCCACGCTTCTTCAAAATTATGCATTCTTTGAAGTGGACCTTGTTGTCATTGCTTTCTGAAGATAGCTGCAGGTAGCAGTAACTTGCTTTCTGTTTCTTTCCCATAACTGTACCTCAAACTGTATCACTTAGTAGTTAATATTTGGTTTCCCTTACATGCAGTAGAAGACAAGAGATCTTTGAACACAATTTTGCAGTTTTCAATTCACTAAAATATTCATTTGGCCGTACAGCTTTCTGTGAATGGGACTTTCCTACCCAGTAGAAAAAAACCCCACCCTACTGAAATCATTCACTTTCAGTGTTAAAAGCATTTCCCCTCTACTTATAAGAGCAGGGGAATGGAATCACTGCATCTTCTATCCAGATTACTCAAATAACCAGAGATAGCTTCAGTTCCATTTTTCTCATCCTCCTCTCTGGAGACCCCCACAATGAGCTCATATCTGTATCAACCCTGGATTAATATGAAGTCCTGTATTCCAACTTTCTCTTTTTTTCTAGTGATTTCTTCCCTGCCAGCAAAGTCAGTCTATCCACCATAATCACATCTCATTTCTGCTTCTGTGTTGTTTTAACTTTGATAGTAAATTAATCCTGATTAAATAGTGTTTTCTTAGCCTCTATTCCATGTGATGTTTCTTGATTTAGGACATTAGTAATTATTCCCTTTTGCTCCTACATTAATGCTGCATAAACTCTGACACATATGTTAAATTATCATACACCTCATCCACACTTCTCACTCACACCATTAACTTCTGTTTCTTTAATGAGGTCTTCAAGCCTGGGGAGGCAAATGTCCCATGTTCAGGATAGTGTCCAGAAAACAGAAGTACCGTCAGCTGTGGCAAAGCTTGAAACGTCAGAGTTTTCTCATTTTCCTCACAACCTCTTCCAGCTCTTCAGATAAATACATCAGTCTGAGAAAACCTTGATTAATGAGGGAATGTTACTTGTCACCTAGACATTCTTCTACTAGTAGAAGGAGAAGGTTGTGCCATTTCCTCCACCTTATTTCCTGATCAGTTGTCCAGGCAGGGACAGTGCAGACAATACAGAGCCAAGCTCAGAAAGAGAAATGACATGATTGTGTTTCTGTGCATGGGTCAGGTTGGCACTGCATCCTGAGGTTCAGTTGTTGAAGCCTACTCAATCAGTATCATTTGTGCTCCTTGTGCTGCCTTAAATTTATTAGCACTTCCACAGTGCTGACACTTTCTGACACATCCCTAGTGACAATCCATAAAAGCATCTGAAGGGTTTCTGCTAGTGGGTCGTTATCTTCCCTCTCATCAGGAATTTGAAAATGTTCGCTCTGAGTCCATCCTCTTATCTCTAACTATTGTTTAAACTTTCTCAACTGTGGTAATTAAAATACAAAATTTTGTCCTTTTGACAGTCACTTGCACTCTATTGTACCCATTTTATCTTATGATGGTGGGATAAACTGTGGTTTCTGTGATTCTGTTGATTCTCAGGCTACTGATTGCAGTCCTTCAGTATCTCTTGTCAGCATGACTCTTCTGGCCCAAGTCCCTTGTTTAATGCCTATTCTATGTATTACATATTTCCTACATTCTTAACACAAATGCAGTTAGCCAGTGTGCCCCATGACTGCACCACACAACTCATCCTTAGGTTGGCCCATTGCTTGTCCAGTGATGCTTTTGACCCAAATCCTGTAGGTGCTGAGACAACACACAGTAGCGTGGTGAAAGTAGAACTAAGTGCTGGTAAAGTCAGTCCGATAGCACAAATACAAAAACGTTTTTCTCACCAGAAGTTTTCTTTTCTCAGGCTCTCGTGGGTGCAGGCTCAGTACTGCCAGTGCTTCCCATAGATGCATTGGCTGGTTTTAGTGCATAAAGAAAACAGACAGGACAGGGACCCAGAAACTGTAGTCCACTCATCTGCCTTAGTCTCAGCAGATGCCAGTAATTTAAACTTGGATCTGTTCATATTCTCAATCGCATCTGATCTTTGGAAGGCTCATTGGGCAGAAACTGGAGTTACCAATTTCCACTTTCCTCTAGACAAAGAGCAATGAGCAAGAGTTCTACAAGGTTCATAGAAAACCTGCCTTTCTAATGTTAGCCTTCCTATCATTTTAAAGAAGTTAGTTATCTAATTTGGGAGTGTCATTGTCTTACCGCTTACACAGTACTAATAATTTCCCTTAGTATTTGAAGCTAGCTGCAACATTTTCAAGCATTCTTACTGGCTAAAATCATGCTCCTTAGCATTTTTCATATTCTTCTGTTTCAAATAAAACTTTCTGGAAAGCCCAAACCTTTGTACTGTAGAGCAGTGTAGCCGTGGAAAGGGGTTTTAACCCTTTAAGTGCAGAGGAAATAAGATGCACAGCTACATGGTCGTCTTTCATGACAGGAAGAAAGAGACAAGTTTATTCAGAAACACACTTGGTTTTATAGCATGACTCACAACTCCAAGAGTAGAGAAAAGGTGACTGGTTCAGAGAGAAGACACCCCATTCCCAGGGCCTGGTCACGCACCACAACAGGTGTTCTATCTTTGTTATTAATTCCTTTTTATTTTGACCAAATTATCACCCTGGGAGAAATTCTCCCTAGCCTTGAGCTGGGCCAGCTTATTGGCTGGGAACAGAGCTGAAAAGCTCCAGCCTGGAATATTTTTCAGGCTGTAAATTTCTTACTTTTTCAATATGTGTCCCACAGAGCAGTGATTTGTATATTGTGATCTGTGGATTACAGGTATAAGCAAGGTCATCAGAAGGGGCCTATACAGCTATTTTCACCTAAATGTTACTCTCTGTTAAGTTTAATTAAAACAGGGCACATTGATTCATTTTCATATATTTGAAGCGTGATAGCAATCCACACCTCTCACAAACTCTAGGAACCATTGCTCTATGCTGCTCCCAGTCATCACCACAGACATTAACAGGTGGATCTTGCTTTCATTTACTAAAGAAGATCCTGTTGAGTGTAATGCGGTAACCATGAACCCAGTGAAATATCATTTGTTGGAAAGAATAAAGCATCACTACATGCCACTGTGTAAATGTAAATTCTTTTTCACATCCAGAGTCTGAAGTAGAACCTCCTTGCACTCTTTAAGCAAGTTACATACCTCAGTAGTCTCTCTTTCTCTTTGTAGCTCTCTGTAAGCTCCTCAGAAACCAAATCCATAAATAAACCTGCTGATGTGGAAGGGAGCAATACAGTCTCTCATGTGTTTCAGAAACGGGGTAGGTTTAGGTGGTTTGTAATGGATGTTGTGGAACCAGAGCTGCAGTTACAGGGCCAGAGATTAGTGTCAGAAATTATCACATGTCTCAAAACCATGCAATTCAGAATCTAAGATTTAGTAAGGAGATGAGAGAATAACTTTGTTTCCAGTTCTCGTGCTTTAGGAAAAACATTCCAAACAAGAACAGAATGTCAAGTTAACAGTGAGAATTATGATGAGATGTGAAAGATTTTTCTCTAGAAAGTGTTTACTCTGAAACCTAATTAAAATGTCAGTTCTGTTTCTAAAGATCATTTCAATACCAACATCAGTCTGATGTTCTTCTCGTGGAAGCAGTGACCATTATGGGTGTGGGCAGCAGTGGGGCTCTCAGTCATTAATAATTTTTGTGCCAAGGAACTAAAAAGTCAATTATTAAAATAAATACCGCTAACACAAATCTGTAAAAAGGAAAGCAGGAGGAGGAACCCTTCTTGTTTTGACTTAGTACTTAGAGGTATGCTACCTGCTCAAACGAGTGCAACCTCCAGTCCTTGAAAGGATGAGATATGCTTGAATTATATACTTAAGAGTGCCAGGCATTTTTAATTACCTTAGGCTTGTGAAGTTTGTCTACTTGTAGGGGCTGTGACAAGAGAGCTATGAACTGATCACTGTAACACACTGGGCAAGGCTATGTATTAACAGCAGCAAAGCTGGCAGCTCAGGGATGGGGAATTTTATATGGCCCACCAGATATTTTTACCTCCAAACTTCACTAAGACATTGTTTAGACATAGGATGATCCCATTTAAAAGTATAGTCACTTAACTGAGCAAGGCAGAGTTAAATTTTGAGGCTTGGTATAAAAAAAGAGATGAAACCTAGAAATGACCAGTCTGTTAAATAGAAGTGCTTGCATTTGAGTGTTGTGTGAAGTGATCTCTGTGTATAGTTTATGTGCATCTATTTAAGTTTGGATGGCAACTAGGGTTATTACAGGATGAAAAGTATGATATACATGAAAGCTGCTTTTGTGGTTATATTATAGAATACTACATTTCTATCACATAATGTAAAACAACCACTGCTTTATTTACAGTGCTTCACTACAACCATATTTTACTATCATGAGACATTCCTTGACCAAAAATGTTGTTTCTAATCACAGAGTAAATTAATAAGATTGAGTGACTACAGTCTAAATTTTTTTAAACTAATTTAGTCAAATATGTGCTGCCATAACTAGGCCATAGCAGTGTGTGCTGCCATGCAAGAGACTAGGGTTTAATTCTTGGATTCTGCTTCTCACTCCATGAGCAGGAGCTAGGAGCACTCCAGAGCTGCAGCCTCAACCCTGGGAGGGATGGAGCCTTGTGTCATTCAACAGCAGTGACCCCCACTGGCCAATTTAAGGAGAAGCATTGAGGGGCTCTAAAAGGAGTCACTTCCAGTCCTCCTCAGAGGTTGGTGGTCATTGCACGGGATCTAGTGAGTGGAGGTTCAATGGGGTGCACTTGGTGGGGTCTTCAGCTTTCAGTCTGAGGAGCAGAATCCTCTGGGGAAGAGACAGCATGTGCGCTTCCTGAGACACTATTTTTGCCTGATATAAGTGGCAAGATTGTAAAGAATTTTTTTTCAGATGTCCTGTAAAGAATGCTGTGATATCAGTCTTTTAAATAGAGGGAAAACTCCACTAACCTCAATATAACTGTAGTTCAATTCCCAGAGAGAGAGAGAGAGACTCAATAGCATAGAGGGAAATACAAGTGCAAACTGTTTTCTCAGGGGGAGTCATTATACGAAAGGAGTAATATTTGCAATGAACCTGAGAAATTAGAGGTGGAAATACTTAAAGGTCATTGAACATCACTGATGCACGAATGTTTCCTACCACAGACTGAGATTTTTTCCTAGCCTAGTGTTAGGTGACCTGAGCAGTAAAACTATCACTGTTCCAGTGGGATCATTAATCCTCAGCCTGCCATTATCAGTAACAGGAATATTGTCTTAGCAGTGGGGATTACATTTTTGTTTACTTAATGCCATCTTACTACCCTAGACTACATCTCCTCAGATTAGCCTAAAGTGATTGTCTTCCTTTCAGCACTTGCAGCTATTAAGCATATTTCCCCTCCCAATCATTTTGTGGATATAAAAATTCTTTCACGTGTCCTCCCCAGCCAGCTGTTGCCGCCCCATAGTGATTTTTGATGCGCTTGTCTAAGTCTCATCCAAGTCACTGACTCCTTGCTGGTATGGCAACAGAGAGAACCTGAGGCCTGTCCTTGAGAATGCTGAACTAAAAGGAACTCTTGCCACCTTGGTCTGTGGTTCTGTGTTCCAGCCACTGTGGTCCTTTTTGCCTGCCATATATCACTGCACACTCACACCCAGCTCGCTGTCCTCTGCCAGGTCTCTTTCATCATTAATGCTCTCGCAGTACAGTGGGATCAGGGCTGGTTCAGCAGTGCACACTATATATTGCCTGTTGTTTAGAGAGATGGGATAAATTAGAATAAACCTTTGCTTATGAACACCTATGTCACAAAGCTGTGTGTGAGGTACTTTTAATCAAATATTTTATGGATACCTGGAGTAACAAAACAGACAATTTTCATATACTCACAAATTTTTTACGTAGCACAGGCTGAAAATGCGACACAAACATCCTTTTGTAACATGCCAGCCTTTGCTGAGGGATATCAAGAAACTGAAAACACTTGCAGGCAATAATTTGTATTGTTTTGTGGTGAAGGAAGTAGATATCTGATTAAAAAGAAACCTTATTAAATGCAAACATTTGTCTTCTGTTTGCTTTTAACATTCATAAGGAGGAGCAGATCCTTTAAAAAATGAATCCGTCGTTCACTAGGATTCTTGGAAAGGCTTGTTAAATCAGCAGGAACAAAGCTACACATCTGGAATTATTGCACTTCTACCAAGCACTACCTGATGCCCTGACACCTGAGCTGCATGAAAAGATGCATCCCACATATTTCTTTAGCTGTTAGCACAGCAGCCTGATTCTCCCTTGAACAGGGAGAACAAGAGAGCTCTCTGGCTTTGCACCTTTGCTTTCCAATCTCAAGTTTGCACCTTTCTATCCCATGCTGCTTAGGTTTTTTTTGCAGCAAATCTGTGATGCACTGGAGTACAGTAGGCGGTTTACTTGTTTTCATGGAAGGACAATTTGTACTTAAAGCAGTGATTAGATGAATTCTTTCTTTCTTGCATGCTTTAGTTTCTGATGAGTACTAGTTTCATCAGTGTAATTATAATTAGCACTCTTCATCTTGCTTTTACGGTACCAGCTGGACAGATTGGTCCTCTTACTGCACAGATTGGCGGCAGGGTTGCCTACATGGAGTTAGGTGACAGGCACCATGAAATAACAGATGGTAAATTCAGGGCTTGTTGGCAATCAGCAGGTTTTTGCTAATGACTTAATTAGCTATGCAAATTGTCAAATCAGTGTGAACATTGTTTTTATCGAAAACTTTACCTAAATTAATTACCATAATTAAGTAGCAGAATGTCAAGTATATTGGATGCGTAAAAGGGCTTGGCTGGCTATGGATAAGAGAGTTACCATCTTTATTAGAGTGCTGTGCTCCATGTTTGAGAAGTCTGAGGATAAGAAATGTGGTTTCTTTTAAAATACGCATATCACCAAGTTCCAACTGAGATACACCCTGGTGCCTTTCCAAAGAAAATGGCTCAGGAAGGATTTACTGGATAAAGGCTACATATTTCAAGGAGAAGTTTAAAGGCAGTTTCATAGCCTGTTTATTTGCTTAAAATTAGGCATGTTTTTCAGCTTATCTGATTTTCAGTTCTGGGGTTTCTGAGATCCAGAGCCATGAGCATGCGGCTATAGAGATTTGTTATAGTTTTTAATTATATTAGAAATAAAGTGTAAGCCTCTCTCCTTGTTCCTACTATATGGGAACTTTTAACTCTTGTTCAAATGTCACAAAGTTAAAGAGATGCAAATTCTCTAACCTAATTTTTTTAAGTTGATTTTTTCTCTCTCAAGGTTTCCATATAACAAATATTGGGTGCTGTTCACAGGATGTGATGGTGGTAGGAGAACCAACTCTGATGGGCGGCGAATTTGGGGATGAAGACGAAAGGCTTATCACTAGATTAGAGAATACACAGTATGATGCAGCAAATGGCATGGATGATGAAGAAGATTTCAACAATTCACCTGCACTGGGAAATAACAGCCCGTGGAACAGCAAACCTCCTGCTAACCAGGAGACTAAATCTGAAAACCCCACACCACAAGCTTCCCAATAGGTTATTCTGCAGCAGTGCCCACTGCAATGTACCTCAGTGGGTTATTAATTACTGTTTCACAGCATTCTTCAAAATAAAATTTAAACAAAACACCTTTCAAATGATACAGTATCTATTTCTAAACTAAAACTATCCAACTTTTTTTCGTTAGGGAAAACTCTTGTATAAGCTTCCATATACGTTTCTTGGAAGTATTGTCATACAGCTAGATACTGGCACTGACCTCAATTAAAATAATTGAAAATTAAACAGCATCTCATGGCAAATTTCTAACAGTGCATTTTATTGGAAGGGGTTGTTTTTTTCCTCATCAAACAATGGCCATATTTTAACAAGTCATCAGTGCTCAGGATCTCATTAACATAACTATGTAAAACTTTTTACAATTGTAATATATTTTCTGCTTTTCAACTTGCACCTGAAATTTCTTGTTTCAGAAAAATATCAGCTTTTAAGGAAAAGTAATTTAAAGTAACTTTTGTTCATTGTTTTACTTTTCTTTCATCAGTTAATCATTTAAAGGATCCAGCATTTTTCATTTACATTTAGCTGATGCCAGTAGATACTCTATCCATCATTTAATAAAAATACTGAAACAAGAAATGTCTTTTTTTCATCGAAGACATGAGAAATATTTTTATGTGGAAAAAGACACCCAGTCCTATGAGAGTTTATGCTTTGTAAAATTGCTGTCGATCCAGATATTTTAAAGCCATGTAATCCATTAACTTTGTGGGCAGCTTAATAAATCTAAAACTTTTGTGTTTTTATTATTGTATCTGAGTTGGCTTTGTTGTTATTTCTTTTCATAGTATATTTCTTGTATAATATTTTTGTAAAGCCCTCATTTTTTGTTTTACTTTTTTGTTTCGTTTTGTTTTTTATTCCGGTGTATTTATGTGAAACTTTATAAAAGAAACTAATTTTTTTCATTTACATATTAATATGTTCAACTCATCATGTAAAGACACAGTGAGTCAGTGTGTTATATAATACAACTGTATTTTATGTATGCTTTGCCAATAAGTGTGCCAATAAACTGTGTTAACAAATGTGCTCTTATACAGTGCATTTACAGTTCCTTGTGTGCACAACACACACACCTGTGTTCAGGATCATGCACCAGGGACTTCTGGAATTAGTGTTTTACTGAATTGCAGTCTTTTTGCAGCTAAAGGGAAAGCCTATGGTTTGGTGTGAATCATTTGCAGCTCCATTTGGCTTGATGCTCTTGTTCTGACAATAATGATGTGCAGCACCACAGGTGAGTTACAGCAGTGAGAGCCAAGTGTGAGGGAATGCTGGGCATCCAGCCAGAGAAGCTCCATCCTGAACTTTGCATCCCTTGCCTTCCAGGGCCAGGGCTTATCGGAGCAGGGGTTGCACTCTGCTGAATTCTGTCTGATAGTTTTATGACAAGTCCCTCAACTGGCGATGAGAGGATTTTAAAAATCCTCCTTTCTTTGCTTTGCTATCACATCAATTGTTCACGGGGCCAGTGAAACTCCTGCAGTGGTGCAGCTGCTCTGAGCACAGCCCAGCCTGCAAAGCCCTGGGCTGAGCTGGAGGACTGAGGCACACACCCACATACCCAGGCACCTGGGAAACCCTGCAGGGTGCACCCTAAGAGTGGCAAACACAGGGAGAACTGTCAGCAGAGAGATGCTGAATCTACACAATCCTGCCTTTTGTGCAGGGGAGTGGTGTTTTGTTCTTCCCTGAAACTCTACTTTCAGTATTGATGACATTGTAAGAGCAGCTGAAGAACTCCTCGGGTTTTTTTAAGTGGCTGTATGTATACCCAGAAGCCAGCCTAGGGATATGTGTCTCCTTAGCATATATACATATTTTTTTAATCATGCTTTTTCTGGATGTGATTCTACCAAACAAGTTTAAAACCACCACTGCAGAAGGAACACAAGGCAAAGCAGCCTGTGTGGCCCCTTGGTTCTTGGTGAGACACAGCTCCCTCCCTGCCCCAGGAGCCAGCCTTGGCCCTTGATGTGGGCCCGTACTTCTGCAAGCAAAATCCTTGTTCAATGAATTTTGGCACCCATGGTACTCCTTGCAGGCAGATAGCCTAAAAGACACCCCAAGCTCCAAATCAACTATAGAATTTAAAACTAGCTAAATAACAAATGTAGATAGCTCTGGATGCTGCTCCTTTGTAACACTTTCAGAATGTAGGAAACTGTAGTTCTATCATTCAGTGACTATATCAGCCCTGATTTTTCCATGTAAATAATTAAATTCACAATTTATTCCGTTAGGGGATCTCTGGCTTCTATATAACCGCTATAACATTACAATTATACACTGTAATTCTAATGTTCAAGAGCACTAATCATTCATATTACATCTCCATGAGCACACTCTAAAAGGCGTTCCTTATTATTAATCTTTCAAGACTGGCACTACTATTTCAATTTTTATAAGATTTATTATGTGATATTACTCCTGTTGTTTCAGTAAATAAACACAGGAACGCTTGAAAAATGGGCAACAGACTCCTTAGAGTGCTGTCCTTGAATTAATCTCCAAGGACACTTTCTCCATATCTCCTCAAAACCCTTGTCTGCAAGCTATCAATCCACCCTATTGCGGTTAGGGTGAACAACAGACACAGCTAGCTGATTTTATTTATTCATAAAAGAAATGTCCAAAACGGACCAGCTTGAGGAAGTGGTTGAGATGGACAGCAGCTGCACACAGTCTCCTCACTGCCCCATGCCCTGGGCTGCTGCATGAGCTTTTCATTTCATGTTTGAAATGACATAGTAGACTCAAGACAGAGCCTGTGATCCCATTTCTGATCCTAAGAGCTCATGCCCTGTCCTCAGGAATTGTCCCCACGGACTGAGGATTAAAGAACAGTGATTCCATGAACTAATGGATTCTGTGGCTTTCGGTCGGGGGTTGTCATTAAATGACACTGTGGCTTCCATGCGTGTGGGACACATATTGAAAAAGTAAGAAAATTACAGCCTGAAAAATATTCCAGGCTGGAGCTTTTCAGCTCTGTTCCCAGCCAATAAGCTGGCCCAGCTCAAGGCAAGGGAGAATTTCTCCCAGGGTGATAATTTGGTCAAAATAAAAAGGAATTAATAACAAAGATAGAACACCTGTTGTGGTACATGACCAGGCCCTGGGAATGGGGTGTCTTCTCTCTGAACCAGTCACCTTTTCTCTACTCTTGGAGTTGCGAGTCATGCTATAAAACCAAGTGTGTTTCTGAATAAACTTGTCTCTTTCTTCCTGTCATGAAAGACGACCATGTAGCTGTGCATCTTATTTCCTCTGCACTTAAAGGGTTAAAACCCCTTTCCATGGCTGCATCATGTGCTCCATGACTGCCTGGCACAGAGCAGTGGGAAAGGTGGATAAACACCACAGATGAGTTGAAGCAACAGGTTTGTAAGAGCTGAGGTTGCAGTCTGAAGAATGAAAGCTGGAAACCTATAGTTAATTTTACTGTAATCTAATCTCACCACCTACCAGAACATTGTATCTCTCTTAGAATTTGGAAGGAAATAATGTTTTTGGCACTTGCCCCTGGGGAGCCCTGAAGCTATTAAAAGGAGGAAGGAAACTTATCTCATGATGTTGAAATACTTTCAAAAAGAAAGCTCTTGTTTGTTTTAGCTAAATGGAGGGAAATACTGGCCCTGAGAAGTGCCCGTGCAAATCAGAGGGAGGAAATTCCGGGAGTTTACTTGGAAAAGCTGAATCACATAATTAGTAAAGTGACCAAATACGAACACTGATAACCAAGCTGGTTGCTGTTACAAAGAATTTGAACCATGTGAGAGTCATAAGCACTGGTGGGTTTTGATTGTTCTTTGAATTGTTTTGTTTGAGGATTTATTTTTTGGGGGGAAGTCTTCGTTCAGCAAAGTCCATTTCTTAGAGAATTTCCAACTCCTGTGAATCACCAGCTGGTCTCACCAGCTGCCCCTTTTGAGACCATTTCAGTTCCTAAAGCTCCTTCTTTCTTTCCACAACAAGAAAAACTAAGCAGTATTTACAAATTTGTAATCTCTTCAGAAAGCAGGTTTTCTCAGGTGTCATCGTCTTTGCAATGATATGTATGTGTCTAATAATGTGGTAGGATAATTCAATTTGGAAGGGATCTTGGGAGGTATAACTAGTATTTGCATTCTTTCAGCATCACAGACCTCTGTGAAAGTCATGACTGATTTTTAGCCTTGGAGAAGTTACCGCTCTCAAACATTTGGGAAGTGACCAACTCACATCCTTGGGGAACAGAGTGAAAGCACCCCATACCAGAGAGCTGAGGATGCCAAGGATGATCAGTCAAAATGTGCAGGAAGACTCAGGAGTTAGAGGGGGAGGAAACTTCCAAAGGGAAAGGCACAATACTGAACATCACTGGGTGTTCTCTCACACTGGAGTGGAGAGAGGCTCCCTACCCAGCCATGGATGCAAAACACCATTAAAGGAGTCTAAATGATAGAACAGACTAAATTTTGCAATTTCACAGCCTCCATGAAAATCCCATTTTAGCAAAGACAGGATGAAAGAGAAAACATGAATGATTGATATTGAAGAAAACCCAGTTTGTGTCTAATATATCCTGGAGAAACTGCTAATGGAAATTGAATAGTCCTGAAAATATTTCCTGAGACTGCAACTCTGATCAAGCAGCCCTATGGTGATATATTGCATGTCCAAATTAAAGCTGCCCTGGGGCGCACGTAACCCCAGCAGCTGGTTTTACTGAGCAGGACTGGATGATTTGTATGTTTTTTCTAGCCTTTTGACAGCATATTTTTATACAAGGCTAAGGCCTGAATCTTCTACTATGTAAGAGGAGCTACTGAATATTTAACATCCCATAGAAGTGATGTTACTCCAGCATGTCATTATGCTCTATTAGGAAGCCTGGTGGTACCCCAGCATTGCAGAAAGGCAGATGGTACCTTTAGATAGAGAGTCACTTATGGAAGTCTCTAAATTTATGGACCATACTCATACATTTATTGAGAAAATATGCATTTCCACTGAATGCTTACTGTATTATAATCTGTTCTAATTTACCATGTTATTTTGACTGCAACTAGTATCAATTCTTTAAAGGGGAGAGGTTTTATTAGGAACAGTGATGGAGCAATCTAACTGTAAAAGCATTTCTTCCATGACCCTGTGAATCACTTCTGAAATAAAAGAACTTTATCCCTCACATCAAGAAATAATTTTTAATGGGTCTATGGGCAGTCTTAATTCATAAGCACATTTTAAAACACCATTATGCACTAAAGATGACATCAGGAAATAATTCATTTATGCATACAGAATCAAAAACTTTATAAAGACCATCCATCTACAGCAGAGTACAAACACTCCAGCTCCAAATACTGCCCAACAAATTCCCAATTCTGTTTCCATCAATTTTACAGGGATCAGGATGAGATTGATCAGCTTTAGTTTGAATAAGATACTGAATCCATCCCTGATAATTCAGATTACAGCTAACTGCACATTAGCAAGGGAATGTGCTTCAGCTGAACCAGGTAAATGCCCACCCAGTGTGCCTCCACACCTGTTGGACAACCAAATTCAGGATCCTTTAGGTCAGTGCTCATGCGGGACTCTGAATTTCTTCAGGTTAATTTTCTTTATTTTCTGTGTGTGTTTGTGGGGATTTTACGAGGATGAGGAATTTTAATTTGGGAATGTTTGGGGTCTTTTTTGTCTTTTTTTTTTTTCTTCAACCTGTACAGTGCCCTGTAAATATTTCACAGATGTCCAAGACCATATCAGTTGGAAGGTGACATGCAGAGCAGGTTAGAGTGTGTGTGTAGCAGTATTTTCTATTATGTTAAAAGGAACTCTGCATGATCTCTGGAGATCCTCAAGTTGTGTATCACCCCAGTTTAATTAATAGCTCTGTCTCAACAACTCTGAATTCATCTAAGTTGCTACATATAATTTTGTATTGAACAGCTGTAATGTATAAGGTTAGCAGCTCCTTTGCAATGCATTAGGAGACATTTTAGCAAATGCTTGATATAAAGCAGGCATTTAACACTCCTTATCGAATT